CTAATGCTAGCCATTTTATTACTTGCTCTTACATTTTCAAAAATAGTTTTATTTTTCTGTTTAAATATTATCTATTGACTTCTTAATATGGAATGAATGATATATCTTTCTGGTTCAAACACCACTCTTCCACAAATTTCCCTTACTCTCATCCTTTGGATACAGTTCCATAAAAATCCTTGTTAAAATTAGTATTTAGTGCGCACCTTATGATTATTATCCATAATATACTATGGTAAATGCTATAATTATATTTTCAGTCTTAAATAATCTGTTTTCTTGTAGAGTTTATTATTGTTACTTTTTGGAATTTTTAAACAACTTATTAAAAATCAAAATGGTCTCCAAAGTGTAAATCTCCTCCCAATAAATTCAATCATTTAACCAACAACAACAACAACAACTTCTTGGAGGCGTGAAATAGGATTCCCAGGACTGTAATCCCGGGAATTACAGTCTCCTGAAGCAGCCTCATCTTTATCCCACAAAGCAGTCGCTAAGTTTGAACCTCCAAATTTTTGTTTAGCACTTTAATGTCTAACCTACGCCACTACTAGGGTTCCTTATTTAGCCATGAACATACGATCAATTTCTGTCCCTCTCTTTATTTTTTTAGTTTCTTGGAGGCAGGTGTCCCAAAGCCCTCCACTAACTGGTTTGGTCTGATTGTTTCCATTCTACAACGCCATTGCCCTACGAGTCCTTTCATCTTAACTGGGGCGTTTCTGTTCCCTCCTCTGTGCTGCACAGGCTTTCACTCTTTCCTTACTCATTCTTTTGTTTGGGTGGAAAACATTTTCTAACAGCCTCCTGATTTTCAATTTTTAAAAAAATCTTGACATCTTTTAATATCATTCTACATTCTAACGTCTTGGGAAATTTTGCTAGGGCACACAATTTTAAGTAGAGAAAATATTTTCTTGAAGATTCTTGAAATATTATCTTCATTGTCTTTTGGCTTCTGGTTTACCTGCTGAAAATCTGAAGATTTTCTGAATCTCCATTCTCAATTGCCAACTTTCTCTTAACTTCCTCTTCTCTTCCAGTCATTCTCCCTCCTTCTCCTTTCCATCGCCTTCGCTCTCAATCTCCGACCAGTGCAGATGCTGTCTTTCTATTCTTCTTTACCGAGCGACACTCTGCATTTCAGAATTGCCAACTAGGAAGTTTAATTGTGTTATATTCTCTCCTGCGGTTTGGTTTCTTGACTCCTAACTCCTATACCATGGCTAGTCTTTCTCCATTATAGTCCTTCAATCACCTCATCTTTTGATGCTTCCTTCCTACTGTTCACTCTTATTAGTCTTCATTCTTGCAAGCCACCTTGTTTAGTTTCTGCGTCTATTATTGAAGCTTTCATTGGTTAAGCTATTTTTAAATTTCTACTTCTTTTTGGATCATTGGATGCTTCTTTCCTTTGATTTGTTTTGGTTTTATAGTCTACTGTTCTTGTTTTCTAGGACTAAGGGTCAGTAGTTACAGTGCTTGGCTGGTCTTTAGCACACCAGCCTAAAGTAAGGGAGTAAGATGCAGCAGTCTGCTTCAGTAAACCCTATGACACGGGTCTACTAGATCCTGGGGAACTGGTCTGAGTTGAAATTCATTCAACAGCATTGGGGATTTTGTTTCATACATGTAGCATCTTCTCATATTATCCTGAGGATATTTATTATGAAGATTTTGAATCTTTCCTCTCCCTGAATTTTATGGCCTTTTTTGTATTTCCTCTATGCTGCTCTTTTCTGTATGCTTTTGGTTTGCTTTATTTATTTCTTCTCATCTTTTGCTTCTTGTTCTTATTAAGAATTTCCTCAACTGTCTCATAATCCCTATTCTAGGATTGAAATACTCAAGAGCTTTGGAGACCTACATGGATGAAGGTTTGTATTTTCTCTTATATTACTGTAAAGTTATCAGTATAGGATACTTGATTGGACCACATCAAATTTAATGTACATATGCTGATATGTACATATCCTGAACTTACAACATAAGTCAATTTTGACATAAGTAGTCTTTATAGCAGTGTTTAGAATTAGAAATAATAACATTGAACATTTGTAAGTGAAGATCTTAGAGTAATAATATTGGTCAATTATGCCCTGCAGCTTGTTTACAATACTTATTACCTATAAGAAGTACAAAAGAAACAAACTGATGGCTGTGTGTGCAATTTTGTTGTAACTTGGATACTTCTTAAATCAGAGATTTTAATATATACATGCAATACGCACACTATTATATATAGTTTTCTTTTATGATGGACCATTTTCTCTAGAAAACGTTCCTTCAACCCTGACTCAGTGAAGATGTGGCCTCTCCTGTTTGGGTTCTCAGAGCCATTTATAAGGTGTGAACCCGCTTGGTCTTAATTCTTCTGATTTTACCACTGCCAGGCCTTCAGTTGGGCTCAGTGTGTCCACGTGGAGAGTCTCTCTGAATCAAATCCTTCAAAACGTAAACCTTTTCTCCCTGGATTGGGAAAGTAACCAGCCATAGCTATTCACAGGAAACCTAATTTTTCTGCATACAGACATTTACCCACCATTCTTGTGTTTAGTCCCTCCCTCAATGCATCTGGTGCCTCCACTTGCTGAGAGGTTTCCAGTTCCATGGCACAGATGTCAGACTTCCTTCTGTTAAGTCAGCTACCACTCAGCCATCTGCTTTCTAGCTTCCAAAACTGTGTAAGTTTGTCTCGTCTACCATCTCCTTCATCCCTGGGAGTGCAAATATTTTTCTTCATTTCCTGTCAGTTTCATAGAGTATCAAGAGGAAATTGAATCTATTTGTTCAATGGAAACTCCAAAATTCACATTGTAAGTACAATTTATTCTAGAAAACATGATTTAGTTATTTTCTAGCCTATTCCCTTCCTTATTATATAAATGCACCAACAAAAGGGTACACATATTTTTAAACCAAGTTATCCTAGGAAGAGCACAAGACCCATAATTATAGAAGTTAAATAATTATGGAAATGTAAGGTAGACTTTGCTAAATTCAAATTTGTTCAATAAATATATTTGGTATGGCTATTATGCCAAACCTAGAAAGCAACCATTGATAGACCTGTGAATGGTCTAATATGATTAAGTTGATGTTAAAGCAAATATCATATTAAGCTAATAATAGTAAATTGTTGACATTTATTATGTAGGCAAATTGGGGGAATACACTGGTTAAGGAATCAAAAATACTACCAAAGCTAAAGCATTTCCAAAGTCTATCATACGATAACTGCCATGACAATGCTACCAGAACAGTATACTTATATAATAAACAAACCCCAAATGCATTCATTGCCAGCTCAGTGGTTCTAACCTCTAGTAACCCTACAGGACATAGGAGAATGCTGCATATGATCTGACAGACAGTAAATCTTTATGTGAGCAGACAGCCTCATCTTTCTCTTAGAAAACACCTGTTGGGTTTGAAACACTTTACTTAGCAGCACAGTGCTTAACTCACTGCATTAATAACTTACGGAAACATAACTTCCAATCCAGCCATGGGGTTTCTGTTTCTAGAAACTGAAAACATAACTTCCAATCCAGCCATGGGGTTTCTGTTTCTAGAAACTGACTGCATACTCAAATAAAACTCACTGACATCTAGTCAAACCAAACTTGTAGCCTGTAGCCCCGGTGGCACCATGGACTACACATTGGGCTGCTAACCCGGACCTCAGCACATGAACCCAACCTTTCCACAAATATTCACAGCCTTCGAAACCCAAAATGTAGTTCTACTTTGTTTTACAGAGTCGCTGTGAGTGGCTGTACTTAGATAATTCAAAAGACCCCAATGTCTAAGGCACAGGAGTCTTACTCAGGCATTTGCTAGGTTTATAGGTGACTTTAGGAAACCCGTTTTCTTAAGGCTCAAGGTTTGAAAGAAGATCTCAGAGCAATGGTCTGACTGGTCACCTACTACATGGAATCCAAGAGAATTAAACTTATTATTCAACAGTAACTGTAGAGAAGAATGGAACTAGATGGATTTTAAAAATGCATATATTTTAAATTAAATATTACAATTTTCATAATAAATTTTTGGTTTCTATTTTCATCAAAATTAAGGTTGAGGAAGTTGATGGAAAAACGAACAAGAAGCTTAGTTAAACAAAGAGAGAACACCAAATAGCTAACCACAGTAAGGATTCGTGGTCCTAGACGACGAGAGAGAGAAAATGCCGATTAGATGCCCTGGAAAAGTCAGAACATGTGTTAGAAAGACTCATGCAGATTTAAAGTTTTTCCCCAAGACTGTACAGAAACTACCAAGTGCTCCCATTAGTCAGGGTTCCTTAAATGTAGGCAAAGATACACATGTCTGCTAAGACACCGAGAAAGCGCCAGGAGCTCATCAACATACATAATAAGGCATTTCTTAAAAACAATAAAAATTTTATCTAATAATAGGAAGTTACAATCTAATTATTAGTCTATAGACCTTTAGACATATAAAATACTCCATACATCATTAAGATCAATGGTTCCTAAGATGGGCTTGATTCATAATTCCTTGGGGAATCTTTGTAAAAAAATATAGAGCCCAAAATCTCACCTCAGATGCTTTGAGTAGAACTTTCACAACTGCACATTTTTTTGAAAAATCTCCAATTAATTCTAAAGTAGTATGCCTAATACATCTGCCTTTTTTTCAGAGTTGAAGAATTGAGGCCATTTAAGCAAAATTAGTTAGCATAAATTATATCTGATGGAACAAATATAGTTCTGTTTATATAGAACTCATTGCGTTTTGATCAGCAGAAAAGCCAATAGTAGTAGAAATCCATTTGAAATACACTCTGCTGCCACAAGAAAAAATGCAAACACTCTTATTTCATGACAAAAGTACCTGAGAAATACCTAGTTCCATTTAGAATATTTTATTTGAGTCACCAATATTTCATGGTGGCAAATTTTAGAAAATCAAAATTTAAGAATATCCCGAAAGGGAAAGCCGAACTGACAAAAAGAGGTTGAGAAACTTACAGATGATGTCCTGTCGGCTTCACATCGGCTGCTCAGAATGAAACAGGCCTCCGCATCGTCCATCCTGAGTGTGGGCAGAAAAACAATCTGTCACCCACCGGGACGCCCCCAGGTCGCCCGAGAATCCGGACTTTCTTACCTAGTCAACAGGTCGAAAGCTACGCCCATGTAAATTCAATGTATCTTCATGCTTAAATAAAATGTGAAGATCATGGCAATGAATTTGTCCTAGGGGTGGGGATATATATATATGTGTGTGTGTGTGTGTGTGTGTGTGTGTGTGTGTGTGTATCACCATTTACTATGTGACTGAGTCATTTATAATGACAGCATGTAAAAGAAAAGCCACATGTTATTTATTTCTTGATACTTAAAGTTTCATAAATATGACCTGATTCAATTAAAGGAGTTGTATTGGCCTTCATTTAGTGATTAATTACATTCTGACTGCAATGTTTAAATTAAACAAAGAGAGAAAACAGAGTCACTCAGGAGTCAAAATCTCCTGCACAAGTACGTGCCCTGGAAAGGAAATATCAGACTGTCACCAAACTCCTCCCGCACATACGCATTCTACATTTCTTCAATAATGGACAGTTCGTGATTGCCTTTCATACTTGATAATGCCCCCAAACTTAAGGCTCATGTGCTTTCAAAATTAGAAGAAAATTGACCACATGAACATTTACCATTTTAGTTCACAGTGACAAAACAACACTTTTCAAAAATTATAGACAACATTTTCTACTGAGAGGAAAAATAAAAGTCCATGCAATTTGGATAAGCCAAATAGTTGAAGAGAAATGTTGAACAAAGGTTATTAAGTTGATCTGCATGTATAATTACATTCTCTAGACATCATCCATTACAAAGCTACCTAAAAGTAATTCAACTGACCTTTAAAATCCTACTCATTGTTCTTTGCATGGGAATTATTTTGAAGAATGTATTAGTTAATATTAAATCCCAAATCTTTTACATGAACTTAGTGTTATAAATGTATTTGAAAATGGATGATCTTGTTATTGAAACGTCTTCTTACCCATCTTTTGGAGTATCATTAAAAGAAATACTATGTGAAAATGCTCTTTGCAAACCTGACTTATTTGGTAAATACTCATTTTATTACCATTAATAACAAATTCACTGTATTAGTGCCAAATAGCAACTAATTTAGATTTTAATAACTACGGCTGACCTGTTTAGCAGAAACAAAGCCTCCATTTATCACATGAAGTCTTAAGACCGAAATATGACTTATTTTCCCTTGCAAAGAACTTCACTCTTATGCAATAAATGAAGAATGTTGAAGAGTATAAAGAATGGGATTAGATTATGCCACATAGTGAATATAGTTAGAGTGTGGCTGAAGTATTGGAGAATCTGGCTTACTGAAGAACTGTTATATGTATAATGAAAACACGTGTCCCGTAATTTAATCCACCAAATGGATGACCATCATCTCAAAGAAGCTTACTTTTCCAATTGTGTGCCACTCACTACATTCTGACCATTTTAGTGGTATTGGTTAATTTATGAAAGCGGGGAAAACATCTCAGTTTTATTATCTGACTAAATATAAATCTAAAGTGATGTCAGAGAGGTTCCTGTTACTAGATAGCTAGTCATTATTTGCAGAATGAAGCTAAAAAGAAGGCTTGGAATCTGTGCTGCAAACCAAAGCCTTTGTTCTTATTCCTTTCTTTCCCATGGCCTCTTTCTCCACACCACCCGCCCCAAACATATACAGCTCACTCGCTCTCTCTCCCTCTCTCTCTCTCACACACACACACACACACACACACACACACACACACACACACACACACATACTTGCATTCATGCTCGAACATACCATCTCGCCCTAGATTCTAGGGGAAAACCAAACAACAACAATATAAAACATTTACTCCACACTCGTGCCAGAAAACTCAGAGAGGAGATTTTTAAATTTGAAACAACATGTAGCACAACTCAAGGATAAGAATGAAGATGTGTGAGACTAATAGCAATGGGAAACATCAAGCAAAGTCCCCTCTGCTAAGGCTATGTCCTAGCTTCAGAAATTACAGATGCTGTTTTGCAGAAACCGATTTCCTGGTGTCCAGAGTCTGCCCTCTGACTCTGCTCATGTGGTGTAACCCCACATAACCTGTGACGAATCTTAAATGGCATGTCACCTTAAATTGGGTAGGCTGACATACGTATAGCAAAAAGGACAATTAACTAAGATCTGTCATCTTTCTGATTCTTCGTAGCCCCAGAGACTTCTTTGTCTCTTATCCCTTGTAATACCTGCCCAGTGCACACCAAACCTCGTGAAGGTTTAGATACTCACCCACACTGTTTCTGAATCTCATGTAATGTTTGCACCCAAAATGTATTTGTGAAACAAAAACAGTACTCAGTTTTAATAGTATGAAAATGGCTAGGTCAGATAATCTCTGATGGATTGAGACAATTGTACCATACTATACTTCTTGGGTTGTGCGGGCATGAGTTGTGGAACATCTTTTCACTGACAATAGGATGGAAAAGGGGTGCGAACTGTTTCTGCTTTTCCGCTTAACTAGCAGTACAACTAAATGCAGGAGCCCTGGAGGTACAAAGAGTGAAGGCTTGCCTGTCAACTGAAAGATTGGCAATTCCAATTCACCCAGCAGATCAGATGCTCTGCTGCCACAACGGTGACAGACTCAGAGCCCTGTGGGGGCATTTCCTCGACCGCATGGCATTTCTACCATTAGGAAGCAACTTGACGGCATCCAACAACAATCTAAAAAAAACCAAACTCACTGCCATCGAATTGACTTTGACTCTCGATGACCCTGTAGGATTGGTTAGAACTTACCCCTTTGGGTTTTTGATACTGTGGCTCTCTCCATTTTACAAGAGTAGAAGGCCTCATCTTTCTCCCACATAGCTGCTGATGATTTTAAACTGCTGACTGAGGTTATCAGTCTAACATCTAACTACGATGCCACCAGAGCTCCTCAATAGCCTGACTTAATTCTATATCCAATGCACGGAAGCATAATTTGCGATACTGAAAATAACTAAAACATATATAGAGAAAAATAAGGCACTTGACACTTTACTGCAGGGTAAAAACGAAAAACAAATAAACTGATACCTACTTTGCTCTCAGTAGGTCCTGATCTTTCAGGGCTGAACCTTGAAGATAAATAACTCGTTGTGACCACATTGGTATCTGCAGCACCCTTCGAACTTGCACATCCATTTCGGTCGGACACAAAATCACCACATAATAATCCTATCCAAAACAAAATGTGCCATGAGATAGAAATACTAATTTTTTAATACTATAGTGCTCAATAAAATCAAAGAAATTTTGAAATGTAATACAATGAAACTGCTTTCTTGCTAATAAATAAAATTTCTAAAACCTAGTTATAGGAGGAGTAACTAAAAAGTATTGTTACAAAATCAGAGAAACCTTTACTAAACCAAACTATCAAACGGGAAGCTATTTTTTTTATGTGTTTTCCATCTAGATCTATGTACTTGTGAAAGCAGTGTTTCCATCTGTAGAACCCTTCCCCAAGGAATTCTGTGACCGTGGGTTTACACAACATCAAAAAAGGCAGTTTTAACATCCTCTGAGAACTAAAATATGTTGCATCTCTCTAACTCTCCCCCCTTGTGGCCCTGCGGGTGTTGTGGGTTATACTTTGAGCTGCTAACCACACCACCAACAGTTTGAAGCTACCACCCATTCCACAGGGAGAAAGGTGAGACTCTGTGCTCCTGTAAAGATTTACAGCCTAAGAAACCCTAGGGAAAAATTCTACAGTCTCTCTGAGCTCAACTAGATAGGAGTGGGTTAACCCTTCACAGAAAAATAGTGTGCTGCTCATTATTCCATGTCAAAATGCCATTTTGACATTCTGGTGGAACTTGCAATGGGTTATGAGTTGGCCGACTAACTACAAGAAGAGCAATTCAAAACCATCTGCTGCTCCAAGGGAGACAAAGGGGCTTTTGGGTCGAACATGATCTTGGAAACTACAGGGGCGGTCTACTCTGTCCTAGGTTGGCTCTGAGTCAGAGTAGACTCAACAGTAGAGTCTGGTTGGGTTGGAGGAACACAAATCATGCTCCTCTACAAAGTCCTTGTGTGTGTGGATCAAAAAGAAGTGTGAAAGAGTGGGGCTGTGGGGTGCACTGGGGTTTCCCCTCAAAATTCTCCTCAAAATTCCCCTCAAAATTCTCCTAGGACAGCCAAAGTTACCCTCCAAGAACAAGCTCTCAGTGGCTCTAAGGCATCCCTATTCTTGCTATGGGTTTATGATAGTGCTGCCATGAGGATCACTGAGAAACTCACTGCCATTGAGTCAATTCTGACTCATAATGACCCTGTAAGACAGTCATACTTCCCCTGTGGTTTTAAAGACTATAACTTTTTACCGGAGTAGAAAGCCTCATCGTTCTCCTATAGAATAACTAACTGGTGGGTTTGAACTACTGACCTTGCTGTTAGCAGCCCAACTAGGGCTCCTATTTCATGGCTGTACATATATCTGTTCATACTCAGGCTCTCCTGCTGGGTCATATGGTATTTCTGTTTCCCAGTGGTTGAGGCAGCACTACACCGGTTTCCATAAGGCCTGCACAGTTTTACAGTCCCACAGCAGAATATGAGGGGCCCAATCTCTGTGCACCCTCTCCAGCACCTGTTCCCTTTTGGTCTTTAACTTGGCTAGCCATACTGGCATCTTACATTTATTTTGATTTGCTTCTTTCAAATGGCTAATGATCTCGAACAGTTCTTCACATGTTTGTTGTTGGCTATCTGGATGTCTTCTTTGGTGAATTGTGTTCATGTTATCTGCCCATCCTTAAAGTGATTTGTTTGAGTTTCTTTTTGAGATGCTCCAGTTTTCCATATATCTTAGAGATTAGATCCTTTTCTGATGTATCATTGTCAATTTTTCCCCATCTGTGAGTTTTCCCTTTACTTGTATGATGAAGTCTTGTGATGCACATAAGTTCCTAATTTTAGGAGGTCCAAGCCATCTGCTTTGTCTTCTGTTGTGTGTGTTTTTTGTTATGCATGGTAATGGGCTTATGCTATATATTAGGGCCAGGTAAGTTTGTCTTGATTTTCTTGTGGATGATATTTATAGTCCCAGGGTTAATATTTAGGTGTTTAATCTACATTGAGTTCATTTTTATATATGCAGTGAGGCATGGGTTCTGTTCACTTCTTCAACACATTGAAATTTAATGTTGCCAGCACAATTTGTTACAAAGACCTCAATTCTCCATTTAATGTGTTTTGACCCTTTGTCAATTGTTTATAAGTGGGTGGATTTATCTCTGTGTTCTCTATTCCATGCCAATCAGCTATGTATCTATGATTGTAATAGTGTCCACCTGTTTTTATTACCATGACTGTGAAGTAGGTTTTGAGGTCAGGAAGTGAGAGGCCTCCTGCTTAGTTCTTGTTCTTAAGCAATGCTCTGATCTTTTTCTTTTCTATATAAGGTTAGTGATTAGCTTTTCCATTTGTTTAAAAAAGCAAGTAGGGGTCTGGATCAGGATTTAGTTATATTTATAGATTTCTTTTAGTTGTATTGGCATCTTTATAATTGTAAGCCTTCCCATTCATGAACATAGAACATTCTTCCATTTACATAGGTTTCTTGGTTTGTGAATGGCCACCAGTAGAAGAATGGACAAATAAACTTCAGTACCTAAACAGAATGGAACACGCTGCGCCGCTAAAGATGATGAAAACGTGAATCACCTCACCACATGGATGGATTTGGAGAACATTAGGCTGGGTGAAGTTAATCAATCACAAAAGGAGAAATATTGCATAAGACCACTGTTACAAAACAAAACACAAAACAAGACTTTCATACCAAGATAAACAGACTTTTATGGTTACCTGGGGTAGGAGGAAAAAGGATAAGCACTAGACACAGGTAGACAGATGTGAACTTGGGTGAAGGAGGAAGATGGTATTCTACAAGCGGGAAAAGAGAAAGAAAAATGGAGCAGGGGATGGCAAGCCATGGGAGAATTGATATGTAGTTTCAGTTGTGAAATACAAAAATTATTATCTAAAATATAAACTGCCATCTAATGCAGAATAGAAAAGTAAAATTTTAAAAAAAGAACATGTAGGTGCTTTGTCATAATGGGAAAACATTCCTCAGTCAATTTTCATGGTCTTTTCCTCAATCACAGAATGTTTTATTTTATTAAAACACAACGTTTTGGACCAATCATGACAAACAGAAAATGTTGCTGTCGTCAAGGATTTTGTGTTGCTTGGATCCAGAACCAATGCTCAAGGAAGCAGCGGTCAGGAGATCAAACGAGAGGTTGCTTTAGACAAATCTATTGCACAAGACCTCTTTAGAGCACTGACGGGCCAAGATGCTACATTGAGGACAAAGGTGCACCTGGCCGCAGCCTGGTATTTCAAGTCTCATTTGCAGTGAGAGCTGGACATTGAATAAGGAAGACCACAGAGGAATAGATGCACTTGAATTTTGATGCTGGAGATTCATAATGAAAGTACTGCTACATGGACTGCTAAAAGGACAACCCGACCTGGCTTAGAAGTACGACCAGACCGTCTCCTAGAGGCAAGTATGGTGACCTTGTTCTACACACTTTGGACATATTCTCAGGAAAAACCAGTCCTGGAAGACTGTATCATGTTCAGTAAAGTAGAGGAAGGCCTCCAGGAGCTAAATCAACAAATGGTTGCAAAAGTGTACTACAGCATAGGAACAAATGGCACAGGACTGAGCAGTGTTTCCATCTGTTGTGCGTAAAGTCACTATGGATTGGAATCCACTCCATGGTCCCTAGCAACAAGAACACTCCTTCATGATCATTCTGGGTTCTAGGAGGAAGTTGACCAATGTTCTCTCTTTGGAATACCCCCCAAACTGTAACCATAAACTTCTCTGACTTAACTTTAACTGACTCAGGAGATCCCCTCAAAATGACAGTTTGGCTTAGGCTTTTGTTTGTAAGCACTATAATGACACTAAGACAAACATGTTACTGAGAGAACTTGTCTGCAGCCATCCACCAGATCTCAGAGACATCTTTAAGCATTGTTCCCTTGGATTAAACCTATGGATGTATGAATGGTAATTCTGGTAGCAATATTTTTTCACTTACCTTCATAGGTTAAATAGGATTGGTCTATAATTTTATAAAACAGAGATAAAATTTCAAATATCAATACATTTGTCTAGAACTATCTCAAACATCTTATTACCATCGACAGCAGCCAATTCTATTATTCATACTATGAAATCCTTATCACAGCAATAGGCAGATCTTGAAATCGACATTAACTTATAGGCAATATTACTAAAGTATTATCTTTAGAATACAAATATGATAAAACCATTTTCTATTTCATTTGCTAATTCTGGATTTCTAGTGAATATAAGATGGGTAAGGATTCATAAACATTATAATATTGACATTGAATAGTAGAAATGAGTTTGAAAAAATTTTATCTTTAGGAAATAGTGATGACATTCAGTCATAAAATCGTTCAGAAATCTACAGAAATTAAAAATCTCTGATAAACCTTTACCATGTCATCATTCTAAACTATATCATTTAGAGGCATAATAATTTTCTATGTGGACATTAAAAAAGGAAAAAATTTATTATCTTTTCTGGAATCAAAATTTCCCCCAAATAGATTTTTGTTAATGAACATAATGAGCAAATTGAAAATTAGCCAACATGAGTATGCGATTTAAAACAATGAAACATCACATATAAACATGGGTTTCCTCAAAGAAAGTAAAAAATGCATGATATATCAAAAGTATATAATGTATAATTTTGATCTCAATTATAAATCAAGCTTTTGAAAAATAAGATATTATTTCTAAAGATCTACAAAATATTTATGAAGCAATCTTTTTTACTTATGAAGCAAAACAAAACACTGTTGCCCAGTCAATTTCGGCTCACAGTTACCTTATGGAGGGTTTCTGAGACTGTCAATCCCTATGGGAGCAGACAGCCACACTTTTCACCCTAGAAGTAATTGTTGGATTTGAACTATAAACCTTGCAGTTCCACTCCTGGCCTATATGCCAACAGAGCTCTTTATCTTTTATTAAGAGAAGTATAATTGCATATACTCAACATTATGTTGATCTCTGGGGAATTTTCCAAATTTTGACACAAATGCACTGAGGCTATGAAAGCCCTTCAAATAGCTCTTTGCTGTTTGGGCTAGACTAGGTGTATTAAGCAAGAAAGGAATTTGCCTAAATCTACATAGGGCCAATACCCCATCAAGTTAATGTTTGACATGAAGATTTGAGCTGCCTAGATAGATAAAGAAATTTTTCTCAACCCTTGTTCTCAATTCAGCTAGTTAGTGTCCAATTTTCAGCATTTACTGCAACTGTAAATAGACCCAGAGTCTAAAAAGCAAAAGTACAAAGGGAACTTCCAGTTTTCTTTTTAGTCAAACCTGACAACGTTCTTCAGTCTTTATCTGAGCAGATGCTCCTCAAATGGCTGTTTCATTGTTTCATTGTACATATATTTTATGTTAAAATTCACTGTTGCACAAAAATATGATTTATCTTCACTCAAAGAAGAGAAAATCATTTCAATTCAAAGAACCCTCTCCATCTGCTTTTACAGCATAGATAGACATAGACAGAAACTTAAAATGCTGTGTATTCCTCCAGCATTTCCTATGTCGTTCATTGTAAGAGAAGGTCTTCCTTTACGCTCTCTAAGTGTTGCTTGTATAAAGACCAAACCCGCAGAAGGCAAGCTGCCTCATCAGTTAATTACATATGGTACTCAGAATGATTCGTGCATAATATAGTTGAAATGTACCTGTAGCCTTGGATGAGCATAGAACTCATTTAAGAAGTCCATGAGCAAATCAATCTTCAGTGAGCTGACACACAGAACAACATGCTTTTCAGTTTGGGCTCTATGTCGACTATAGTTCCCACCTGACTTTTGTCTCTCCATCCACAAATAGGCCAACTGTTCAAACTGTAATATATATATTTTTACATGAAAATGAAAATCATTGGACATGAAGATAAAAAAAAATGCAATAGATCTGCTGTTTATTAGATATACTCAATTTCTTAGCTGGAACTCATTGAGATTAAGATGACCCGCGTTCCTTCAACTACAGACCTTTCAGATGATTGCCAAAGAGCCTGCAAATGCCTCCCAAGGGTATCAGGTCTCTAAGGAAACATAGGAACATGATTTCCCTGTTACAGTAAAACAGATCACTAAGAGGTTTGTGCTTCTGTTTTATGTCCAGTAAAGTGGATAGCCATGGAATGAGATCGGCTAAGTGAAAATGCAAACTGCACATTTATTTCATAGTCTTATGTTAATTCCACCCCACATTAATCAAATGGGAGATACTTTTCCCACAAGATACAAGGCCAGATTGTTTATAGCTTTAGAGAAGTTGGTACTGGAGGAAGTAAAGCTTTCAAGGGAGGATGTCAGAAAGGAAGAAATATGAAGAAGGCACAGCGATGCCGTTGTTGTAGCTATGGGAGGTATTTTTAGATCAATTGTGGTCAAATTATGCTACGGACATGGAGGTTTCATATGCACTTGCTATATCCTAATTTGGCTCTGCTAATCCATGGGCACATGAGGTTCCCTGTAGAAAATATTTGGAAAGTATATTTCTAATTTATATCTCTGTGCCTTTGTAACCTCTCTTTATTCTACACAAAGGGGTGCAAAATTTATACATATCATTTTTAGTTTTTGCTCAGCAACATATGCAATGCCCATTTTTCCATATGTGGCTTTTGGTTTTATTTTTTGAGAATGAAGATAAATCATTCTTTCTCAAATTTATTTCCTTGATATGTGATTCTGCATAAAAACTGTGCTATCCTACAAAATAGTTAAACCATATAGTTAAATACCCTATTGAAATACTTAAAATAGATGTCAACTATCTATAATTGACACTTTTTTGGAGTAAAGCACAAACAAACCGACCTTCTCTTTATATTGATAATATATATTGAATATATTATATTCAATATATTATATGAATAATATATATTGAACACTTTATAGTGTTCAATATATATTATGTAAAAAGAAATTTGTGAGACAAGGTTAATTAAATGGGAAGATGTAATTAAAGCATGTGCCAATATATTATTGTTGTATAAGTAAACTTTTATTTATTATTAAGTATAAAAAACGTTATTTGATAACTTTTGCACATTGCTGTACAATGTAACATATATTTACCTGTATGGGTAGAACCACAAGAGCAACACAGATCATAGCAACGACAAAGAGCTTGGAGGACCACGTTTCAGGAGTGACATCCCCAAATCCCACAGTAGAAAATGTCACAATGCAGAAATATAGGGAGTCAAAGAGATTCAGCTTCTTTCCTATCCGTTCTAGATGTTGGATTCCACAAATGCTAAAGAAACAAATACGCATTAAGTTTAAAATGTTCATATTGGACACGTTATTTTTCAAATAATTATTCTTTTGAAAGTAAAAACCATTAATAGTCACTCTTCATTGGACTTTTAATATTTTGCAGAATATTTTCTCCTCAGCAAAATGCAATTTCATCTTATATTTACTCCAATATTAAGCTTATGTGGCCATATTTTGACTAATAGTTGGCAAACAGTGGTTTTCTAAAATCCCAAATTATGTTTTAAAAGCACATTGAAGCAATGCATTGAATTTTATTGGTGACTAACATACAGTTTGAATACACTTGTAACCAACACATAGTCTAGAAATTCCAAAATCATTTTTCATCAAAATATTTTGGTTTGTTCTTCATTAAGAAAAGGAAGGACATTTTACTAGTAGGTAATTTTTAGGTAAATAAATATGAAAATGTTGAGGAGTTAACAATTTCCAAGTAATGCTCAAAGACATTAGGGCCTTAAGAGGGCCAAATCACTGAGGCCTGGGGCACTTTGATGGGAAGGGAAACAGGGAGGATGTCCCAGAGCTGTGGAAGCGGCAGTCATTGGACCTTGGGGGGATCGTGTGTTGGTGGGTGTCCAAAGGAAAAGGACCTCGATTCACCATATGTATAGTACCATGATTCCCCCCTTGCAGTTTTATGACCATTTAGATCTGATGGACAAGGATTGTCACTTGTAAAAATTGATCCGGGGAGTTTCCCCTTGGTATCAATACCCATGTTTAGGGTAAAAAGAGCTCAATCAAATGGGAGATCAAACTGCAGGGCAATAACTCATGGGTTGCAGCTCACAGAAGAACTGTACTCAAAGAGACTCATCATACCAGCAGTGTCCAGAGTGCAATATCCTTATATCCCAGGGGAATGATTGACAGTTTTAATTTTTTGTTTCTATGTTTCTTTTTCTTGTTTTCCTGCCTTTTGTTTGTTTGGGGTCTGTATTTTTGATGGTTGGTTTGCTGCTATTGTTGGTGTAGTTGGTCTTTTGGGGTTTTGATTTTGTCATCATATGAGTAACAAAACAACCAGAGTTGTGTATAACCTGTGGAGATACAGATGGGCTCTGGGCTCCCACTTAACTTTAGATCCAATCCAAGAACAGTTAGTTCTGGTCACATGGCCCTGCTCCATACTCACCTTTATGAAGTGATCACTGAAGATTAGGATGATACAGCCAAGTGTGGCGAAGAAAGCAGATGGTGCCCGGCTATCAACTGGAATAATGTCTGGGTTCTTAAATGCTTGTATTCAAGCAAGAAGCATTTTACGTAAGGAGTCAACTATGTCCACATGAAAGAAGCACACCAGCTTGTTGCGATACAAAATTGACCATAACAAAATCCACATATGATGAAGGGAAAGTATCAGAGCTTAAGTTTTGAACACTCAAATTGTAGAAGGCGATGGAGGACAGTGGGAGTCCAAAACTCATCTGCAAAGTATGTAGTCAAATTAAGCCACCGGCAGATCCCCACTAGTCCCTGAAAGTGTCTCGAACAGCTTTACTATTATATAAAGATCATTGTAAACTTGGTTACACTGGATCCAACTTGATAATCGGTCAGTTGCCCTCCCTCTTGACCCAACCTGTGTTCGTTCTAGGATGATGTATTTCTTGCTTTCTCATGACAAAAATTTCTCCCTGGCTTTTAAAATATTGACAGTGGTCTTTTCTTTATTACTCATTATTTCTGTTTGTATCCTATATTATTATTATTACTTTATCCTTACCACTTTATTTTGCTTTTTTTTTACTGTTTCTGTTGGGTTTCCCAGTTTTTAAAGCACAGAAAAAGTGGATGCATAGAGATAATAACTGATGCAAGGTTTTATAGGGGGTGTAGGGTGGGGATGGGGAGGTGAGGAGACTTGGGGAAGCAAAAAGTGAATGCAGGAGTGGGAAGGGAGCACTAGAAGCACTGGAACTGATTGTGATTATACAACTCATTTTAAGATTGATTTTCCCATGCAAGTATATGATTTGTGAATACTATATCAAGAAAACCATGGGGGTGGTGAGGATGGGGGAAACTTGACCAATGCTTACCATAGGCAAAGGAGAAAGAGATTTCATAAAGGGCACTGAGTTTAAGTCAGTGGTGGCAGAATAATTTGGAAAAAGATATCAATAGAGGCTGTACTGCATGAAGAGAACAGTCAATGACACTGAATTATACAAATAGTAGTCATGGAACTGGATAACGTTCTGTTCTGTATATTTTTGCCACAATTAGAAAAAAAATACATGAATAACACTGACTACAAGGAAGGAGAAAATGTTCTAGAATTGAATATGATAACAATTGACAGTTCTTCTCGATATGATTGAATTACTGAATTGTATCACATGTGGATAAAATGCTAATAAAACAGTTCCAAAAAAATGTGAAAGTAGGGAAATCAAGTCAAACCTAGTGCCATTGAGTTGATTCCCACCCAGAGAGATCCTACGGGACAGAGCAGAACTGCCCTCCGGGTTTCCAAGACTGCAAATCTTTACAGGAACAGAGTCTTCTCTCTCCCTCAGAGCAGCTGGGGGTTTTGAACTGCTGAGCTTGCAGTTAGCAGTCCAACACATAACCCACTATACTGAAAGTAAGGAAGCGTATAGAAATTATTACAATTGTCAAAATGGTCTGGGAGATATCATAGCTGCTGTTTTTGTAAAGTGAGGTGACCAAATGCACATACATTGTGCAATGTTAGAGTGAGATCTACAAAGTACACCTTTAAAATAGTACATAGTGAAATATTCTTCAGCATTACAAAAATGTCCAAGTACTGATGTATGCTACACCACCAGAGTACCTCAAAAGTGTATTGAGGGCAAAAAGTC